AAGCTGCGGGACTGCCTCTAATCCGCAGAGGGACTTTAAAAAGCCCTATTTTTCTGTGGTCATCAGGAAGAGATGCAACTTTGAACCTGTTTAAGTCATACCTCATTAAAAATGCAAATTAAGACCAAAACATCAAAACATGGGCATCCTGCCAATTGCGTTGAGGAGCTGTAAATTGCTAATCAGACAAGTACCACACTGAGCTTTTCTTCCCTTAGAAGACAAAAATCCACAAGCACAATGAACTGCATAAATGAGCTCCTCGAAACAAGGAAGCAATCAGGCAACTCACTTCCCAAAGTTGCTAATCTTGGGCTGCCGAGTTACTTCTGACCCCCCACGCGCAGCTGCACCGCGAACACCGACTTGCCGCATTACAAGTTTAGGCTCTGCTGCCATTAAGTCAACGAGCTGCTTCAGGGCTAAATACAAGGAAAAACGGATTATCTGAAAGGCTGCGGGTGCAGGGAACGCTGCTCAAAACCCCACTGCTTCTTCCAAGAGTCACACCGGCGTATTCAGCGCTCGTAACGAGCTCCGTGGCGCTGCTTTCCCTTTACTTTTTAATTTCCTCCTTTTCCACAGTGACAAGTTGCTATATTCATCTAAAGCTTTTCCAAAGTAATAAAGACTACAAAGAGTTTACTCTATTTTCTGCATGAAGAGAAATCAAATACTAAACTATCCCTGGTGTGCATTAAATATAACCAATAAACAATCATTAGCTGCCATCGGACCATAAAATTTGAAGAGCCCTAAACATATCGTGTTGTTGAGGGAGCTCGGTGGTTTGTTTCACGTGGCTGTACAGCCTCCTTGTCTGGGTGCAGCAACGGGATATGTATGCACAAGACATGCCTTTCAAGGCTGCAATATAGGTTCTGCTTAACGCAGTCCAGCAGCCGCATGGCTCACGCTTCCTCCTCCAAATACCTGGCACGGACGCTGAAAATAAAACAAGTTCAGTGGAGCCACCCAAGACAGACCGTATTGTTGGGAGCTATTTTCCCAGCCACATTAACATGCGTAGAACGTCGGCGGCTGGCTGACGGACTTGGAGGCTGTGTACATACGCCAGGCTTTCAATTCGCTTTCTGACAGCTGGACTGCTTACCATGGATATCCCGCTTTATAGCATACCAAAAGGGGGAGAAACAATAGAGAGATTCCTGTCACGATGAATTTGATCACCAGTGGATGAATATACCTACGAGTGCGTTTTCTAAAATATATGGAATCATTCAAAGCCTAGCTGCTTTCCTCTGACATCTCTAAGAGGCATTGCTGGGAAACCCAGGACAGTGTAGGAATATGGAACAGCTTCTCACTGCCCATTCTGGATGGCCTGCGACTTGAGTGAGTCCTCTCAAAGGGAGGCTGCCGAAGTCTTCATCCAGCTCTTACTGAATTTTGGACACAAGTTGTTGTCAAACACAACTGCAAATGCTGTTTTCCACGCTGTGTTTCCCACCACACTGTCTGACAGCAGACCTGGCCGGGAGGTGGATGGATTTGGTTAACACACAGGACAAGGCAAATGATGTAACGTTTTATATCTGCCATCTCAGTGTCTTCTTTTTAGCAGCAAAACTTGAGAAGTGGCCATTTAAGACTCAGCAGCTGAGGATTCGGCCCATCAGAAATGGTCTCATGGAAGTTCAGGTGAGTATCACCAGAATTGCTTCAGCAGTGTTGGGAGACCAGACCGTCGGCAGTGGGGCTTCCTGCTTTCCACCTTTACTTTAGAAATTACAATCAGAACCAGGTAACATGCAACATTTCCTGATTTATTTGGGGGAAATGGCCCAACGCGGCTCAGCTTGTGCATAGGAACAGTCCCTGCTGGCCTGAATGGGATGGTCTTTTCATGGAATCACTACGCTGCTGCTGGGTTATAAAAGCAAATTATCTCCTAACATGAGTGGTTTGAACTGCTCCTAAACCAAAAAATAGTTAAAGGGAAAGGATAATTAAGTGTAAGAGAGTATCTTTACTGGGCAGCTACTCCAAAATGCCAAAGTGAATACTAGGCCACCGGATGCTTAAGAAAATCACAAGCCCCAAGTGATGAACAAAGAAACAGAGAGGAACAACTGCCTGTTCCTGGCTATGTAATCTGGGCATGTGTTACAGGCGGGATGGATTTAGAAAGGAAAATGAAATCAAGCAAACCTACATCGGGTGTCTAAGCAAATCATTCTGAGATGTATGAATGGTGGCACCAAATGCCAGGCAAAAAACAAATAACACTAACAGCTCCATAAGTCCTGCTTAAACAAATGCAATAAATAATGGAGGGAGGCAAGTAATATATTCCAGAGGATGTTTTACAAAACCCAGCAAAACCAAGCAACTTCTTGCAATCAAATTATGTATGCCTGGCATAGAGTTCACTACAAATTCTAATCAGTTCTACCCTTCTAATAACATTATACAGAAAAATACATCATCATCCATCAACCAGATGGAGCATGATAGTTATACAAAACATATTGTATGTTTTTTATTTTCGACTATGAGTACGTGATGAAATTGTGCACTCTGGAATTAGAGATTATAAATAAATATTTTAGGCTCTGCAAATCCCTGTAAATATTTATTTGCAAAATACTATGTATACATGTTCTGTGTCTGTGCCAGTAAGATCTCTCTCTCTCTCCACAGCATAAAGCAGTATTTTTAATGATGTAATCATGATTCTATGATTCTACATGTTCAATCATTAAAAATACTGCTTTATGCTGTGGAGAGAGAGAGAGATCTTACTGGCACAGACACAGGACGGCTGCCTCCTCAACACAAAGACAGCAAAGTTTTGTTGTTTGCCTCCACTGAATTCCAGCCAAACTTTCTGCCTGTTCCTCCCAGGCCATTAAAACATTCGGGCACCCAAGGTCTGCTGGGAAAAGGCAGCGTATCCCATGGAATATGTTTATTTTGCTGTGCTTTGAAAAGGTCCATATATTCCTTTAACAGCAGTGGGAACATTCCAGCAATGCAAAGCTGCCATGGTGCTTTAGGAGAGCTGTGTCCTTTCACGATGAGGGAACAAAGTCCGACATTTTCAACACCCAACGGCTACAGAGCACTGTCAGGGAAAGCAGCTGGGGCTAGCTTTCATCACAAAGTAGCTGCAACGCTGGGTTTTCTTGGTAAGCAGCCCACAAGGCGGAGAGAGAAGTCACAAGGATCACTCTGGTGCTACAAGCCCTGCGATGGTAACCCTGCAAAAGTCACGGGGTGACCAACGGGGAAGGCAGTCACGGAACCACCAGACTGCGAACCGGAGCGATGGGGACAGAGCTCCAGCGATGCAGAGGTGGAGGAGTATCTTGACTGGCTTTCCAGGGAGCCAGACTCCCGGCTCTTTGGCTGTAACGTCCTTGAGGCTCAACACACCCCACGTAGGCCATTGTGAAGAGGTAGGTCCTCCCTAGAAACACTGCAGCAATCCCCAACCTGCCTAAAGGGACAAGGCAGAATGTTCCAATACCTGATTCAATGGGGGCTAATACACTGCTGAAGAGGGAATGTGAACAGAAGAGTTGGTTGGAGCAGAAAGCAGGTGGCAGCTGACAGAAACAGTCTTCTCCAGAGCCTGTCATCAGCTGTTGTGTTACTTTTTCTTTGTCCCCGAGGCCTGTTAAGTCGGTCAAACTACTTTGGATAAATTGGCCGAGATCTGTGAAACTTACTCCCTCCTACCTTTATCTGTGTGGGCCACTTCCTTTCCACAAAGTATGTCATTTATACAAATTCAGGTTGCTATTCTCCTGCTCATGGGAGGAACACGACGCAAATAACCAGCTGGGATACAAGCCTACCTGCTGACATGGTAATGGATCATGAGCAGCTCCACTGCTCTACAGATTTGCTTCTGCAAGGGATCAGCTTGGTATATACCAGTAAGGTTTCAGGCAAAAAATCTGCAGTTGTATTTAACAGGATATCAACTGCTGTCATGGCCTGACCCAACCTATGCTAAAAAAGAGCTTTAAAAATGCCACCAGCTCAATGTATGCCTTCAGACTGAGCCCTTAACTCAGATAAAATGACAGGGACAAGGCAGCCTGACAAGGGAAAGTAAAAAAAAGTCAGTCAATAAAAACACATTGTTAGTACTATTATAACAAAGCTGGCAAAGAAAATCAAAGGCTTGGTTTTCCCTTGTTTTCCATTAGACGGTTTTGCACGATCATCTAAATTGTGCTTTGATACCAGCTTCAGCAACACTGAAAACATTTAAGAATATTCATAATGATAAATGATGGAGCTGTTCCAATTTCAAAGAGCCTATTGCACTCCACAGTCACCACCTATTTTGCTTGCAGGCTCTGTTCATTTGATAGAACACTTAAAAAAGAGGAAGAATAAAGCAATGTTTCATCACCCAAATGAGAAATGCTCTGGTTTGAGAAGAAGGATGACCTTGCCGATACAGGACAAATCGAAGACTTGGGACAGCCAGGGATGGGGTATCCACAGCTTTTCTGGGCAACCTGTTCCAGTGCCTCCCCACCCTCTCCGGGAAGAACTTTTTCCTAATATCCAACCTAAATCTCCCCACTTTCAATTTAAACCCGTTACCCCTTGTCCTGTCACTACAGGCCCTTGTAAAAAGTCCCCCCCAGCTTCCTTGTAGCCCCTTCAGGTACTGGAAGGTGCAATAAGGTCTCCCCAGAGCCTTCTCTTCTCCAGGCTGAACAAGGCCAATTCTCTCAGCCTTTCATCATAGGAGAAAAGATATTATGCAACGATGTGACAAAATATTGCCTGAGTTCCCCAAGAAAATACCTTTGCAAATAATTTCAGAGTGAGGATTTGTCCTGTATCATCACAGACTGTGCTGGAGACAGAGATAAGGCAAGGCGTGACTCCTGGCTAAGCTCTGCCTGCACCAGCCTCCTTTACCTGCCAGGTCTCTGGGCTCTTCACTTCCCTTTGTCATCCCCATTCCCATCTCTCCTGACCAGGTCCGAGCAATGCTAAGCCCCACTCACACTTTATCTGTGCCGTAGCTCCGGTAGTCGACCGCCGCCGATACAGCCACAATCAGCGCAGGCATGCCATAGCCAACCAGGTAGAAGTACTTCCTCCGGGAGTGTTCGCTCTCGAAAACCTCCACCAGCATGATGTAGAGCTGCACTCCCTCCAGGAACATCCAGGTGAAAGCCGCCAGGAAGAAGAAGTGCAGGAGGGCAGCGAAGACAGCACAGGCAATCTGCGTGCAGGTTGAAAAGAGCAACGTAAGGTGTTTGTACCACGCGGAGTTAATGCAACAGTCGGGATTACTCCTACTGGGAGGCTTAGTAAGAACGAGGGAGTTCTTATCTTCCTTTCTCCAAAGGAAGAACTTTTTTTTCACTTGGAAAATATGCGTGTACTATTTTAAACCAGACACAACTCTGCATATATATATTATATTCAAAGATACAAAGGCAGGTATGTACACAATCTGGCAATAAACATGTAAAGATGTATAGAATAAAGCGCATTTTTACAACCTGCTTATTGTACGTGCACACATTATTTACAAACAACACACGTACAGCCTCTGAAATCCCAGCAGGCATCAGCATTTGACTCCCAGTTAACAACCAGGGGCTCGACCCTACAAGGACTCATGCGTGGAACTAAGGCAGTGCTGGAATAGATCCCACTGCATGGTGAAACATCCCATAAGCATCGAGATGTGAGCCTGTGGCAGCAGCAGAAAGCGCTTTGCCTCTTACCGGCTGGTCAGTCCGGTTGATGCCAATGAGGAAGAGGAGTTCTGCCACGAAGAGGCTGATGCACAAGTTCTTGTGAATCGTGTTACGGTCGCTCTGCAGCCCACGGAAGAAGCAGAAGGTGAAGATGCAGATCAGGAGGCAGACCAGTGAGAGCAGGATGCCAACCCACGTGATAAAATCCAGGAGCAGGTCATGGACTGCATCGCTGTGCTGGAGATAAAACCAAAAAACCATAATTGACTGCATGATGCAGGACTTCTAATCCATCTCACACACAGAGTGAAGCTGCCTGAAATCCTTCCCCATACATGTGCATCACAGAATCACAGAATGGTTTGGGTTGGAAGGGACCTTAAAGATCATCCAGTTCCAAGCCCCCTGCCATGGGCAGGGACACCTTCCACTAGAAAAGGTTGCTCCAAGCCTCATCCAGCCTGGCCTTGGACACTTCCAGGGCTGGGGCATCCACTCACCGAGCTGTGGTGCAAGGGATCAGTAGCAAAAAGACTACATGGACCTAGACTTGAATCCTGCATCAAGAAAGATGCAACCTGAAACAGAGACTCTGGGCAAGCTGCGGGTGCCCTGAGCAGACTCAGACCCCCAAAATATCCTAGAAACAATTATGCTGTTGTTGGAAATACCAAGATGTCCTCGCTATTCCTGCGTGCAGCTTTCACAAACACGGCAAAGGTGCGCACACAGTATAAAGAATCATCCAACGCTGCAATCCGAGTCTAAAAATGTTTCATGCTAACAACACTGTGGAGATTACAACCACCAAGTCCATTACAACCATTCCCCAGCAGTGAAAAAAGACTCTCTTTAAACGTTCACAGAGACGCATGAGCTTGGAGGCTCTGGACAGAAAGAGATCACTTCAATGTCTTGGGTTTATTTTTTTCACCAGGGAAGGAGGAAGAAAGTTTGATTTTTCTTTTTCAAACCCCGGAGCTATATATTAAAACTCGTGGGAAGTGGACTCATCTCTGGGATGCTACCCAGAAAAAAAGACCAACCTTTTAACACAAATTTACTTTGAAATTGTAACAAAACAGTGGTTTTCAGACAACCTGGAAAGTGAGCGATTCTCTGTGATGAACTCATAACAGGGTTTTACCCCAAAGCCATACCACTGTTGCAGGGGCAAAGGTAGGCAACCCAGCCACAAACTTTGGCGAGGGGCTGCAGAGGTGTCCCTGGGCTCTGCTGATAAAAGCTCCTGGGCTTACGCTTCATGTCCCTCCCAGAAAGAGGAGGGGGATGCTGGGACCCTGACACTGCGGGTGTCCCACTACCTTATTAAGGCTCTAAGACTTGCCTGTACCTCCGTAGGTTTCCACCAGAAGTGGTGAAATTGGAGGTATCATCACTCAGTAAAATGTAAATAAGGAATTAAAACACATGGTGAGTCACGAGACGGCTGTTCAGGGCTGAGCTGAGGGAAAGATTGGCTGGAATTCTCGGGGGGGTGGTTTAAAAAGAACCAGAGAGGCTTGAAACCCAGCTTTGTGGCCCACCAGTCTGTGTTATAAGTGGTATTCGCATTCCCCCCCACTCCTGGCATTTTGATGACTTAGGCACTATGTAGGCTGGCAAATACAATAGTGTCACACTTCAAAAAGCCAGGACAAACTGGAAACATTTTCCTCCCTGTGGGACAAAAGCTTATGACAGATGGAGGGAAAAGGTGATTAATTTATCCATTTTCTTCTCCTGCTTGCCAATGATAAAGCCACATCAAATGTTGGGCCTTTCTGATATACTCTCTGCTGTGTCAGCACCCGTGAGAAACAACTCCAACCCTTCAGCTCTTTGGCTTGATCAGCAAGAGTGATAGGCATCAAATGATAATGGAAGATGGGGAGTGACTTTCCCCTTCATCTCTTCCATACTGGAAGTTTTCTCTCCAGGGAGACTTGGAGGTGGAGAGAGGAGAGCTCCTTTCCCCAACAGCTCTCACAGCTCCTTCTGACTATTTCCAGTATCGTAGAATCCCAGAATGGTTTGGGTTGGAAGGGACCTTAAAGATCATCCAGTTCCAACTAGATGCCATGCCATATCCTAAAATATATCTAAGGAACTAGGGGTCAGAAGTCCAACAGAGGGCCAAGAAAATCATAGAATCATAGAATGGTTTGGGTTGGAAGGGACCTTAAAGATCATCCAGTTCCAAAATCCTTGTGTGCTTACAGCAGATCATGACACAAATGGCTGTTCAGCACCCAGAACACCGAGAAGACGAAGGGCATGTCATTTTTCCGGCGGCTGCACATTGCTTTACCTGTGTCATTCCAGTTCATCCATCCCTCTGAACCATGTTAATGTGAACCTGGCACCTTGCAAATCATTCTTTCTTTTGTCTGAGCCTGCTGGGGAATGGCAGGAGAACATCTCCCTGAAAACCCCACCAGCTCAAATTGTCCTGCCAGGCTGAAGTGACCAAGAGGTCCTGGGCTGGGCGAGCAGCACACGGCAGCCAATGCAGGGGGGTAACGAGGTGACAGAAACCAGGCAGACTTTGGCCAGATCCATCTACCCCATCCCACTCCAGCCAGTGCCACACATTCATCTATCCCACAACACAGCCTGGCACCGGGAAGGCTCTCTGAGGGCTTTTTCCCCTACATGAGATGAATCTCTGAGATCTGAGCTCCTGTACTTCCATCATAAAACCGTAACTATGCTGACTTTAAGACACAATGCGGGAGTTTGGGATGGTTTTGCTCCTGGAGAGGCATCCTAACATCTAGGTTCATGGTCTTCCTCAGGGAAAGGATGTTTGCCCACAAAGCTCACCATGCTTAGCAAGAAACGCAGACTTCATTGCTGTATTAGTATTATCACTCTTACTACTCTTCTTCTTAATATTAATTGCAATGATAATACCAATTTTATGTACGTAACACCCATCCCTGGAGTGCTAGGAAACAACCATAAAAACAACTTCCCCGTAATTACAACCCTCCCCCCCCACCCAACAAACTCACAAAAGAACAAACAAAAAGGAATAATAACAATAAACTGTGAACAAGAGCAATTTAAAAACACCTCGGGGGGAAAAAATATGATTGTGTATCTTTTTTAGTAAAGTCCAAGAGAAGTGAGCTGGATTTGCAAGGTGGGATGCGCTTGGTCCTGTCTGGGATGCCCAGTTTCAGGTACCACAGCCGATGGGTCAGGGAGGAGTTGGTAAGCGCTGGCATCCTTTCCATGGCAGTGTCAGCTGCCCCCGGGCCAGGTACCCCCAGAGCTTTGATACCAGCAAGTCCAACAAAATGGTATTTACCTTTTGCTAGGCACTGAAACTTGTAAAATACCGTGCTGCTACAGGCCACAAAGCAGAATAATATGGGAAAAGGAGGAACGTAATGGCTCCTCAAGGCCGTGAGGTTATCCTTGCCATGACCCGATCGCTATGTGACAAATAAGGGAGGACCGTACTTGGTTTACACAATCGGTGTAGGGTGTTCCAGGCTTAAAGAGGATAAACAGCACACCAAGATTTTGTACCTTGGTTGCCGTCTCCGAGTCTGGTCCCTCAACAGCAGAGACATGCCAGAGGATCAAATCTTCTCTCTACCCTGTTCAAGCGCTCCCTGACTGAGGATAAAACAGCTCCAACGTACGTGTTAACGACACCCTTCCAGCACCCCGCAAGCCCGACGGTCCCTAAGGCACTCAAAATACATCTAAACCCACCAGTGTATCGACAGCAGCCAATTCTTACTTCTCAATAATCTCCCCAAAGAGCTGGGGAACCGGGAGAGCCCATGGAAATACGAGACATCAGTCCAAGAGACAATTTCCTGACAGCATCCATCAAAGACCTCCTTGCCCAAATGCACCACGGCTGTCCAGACCGATGCTGCACGGCCCAGCGTGCGGGCCACGGAGTGTTGCTACCACGAAGCTACGCTGGCTTTACCGGTAAGCTGACACACAGAATGTTTTCAGCACAGGAACAACTTCTTGGGTAATTATCATAGAATCACAGGATGGTTTGGGTTGGATGGGACCTTAAAGACCATCTAGTTCCAACCCCCCTGCCATGGGCAGGGACACCTTCCACTAGACCAGGTTGCTCCAAGCCTCATCCAGCCTGGCCTTGGACACTTCCAGGGATGGGGCATCCACAGCTTCTCTGGGCAACTGAAATAATTGAAAGAAATAAAATAATCCACTTCAGCGAAAGGGTTTCTATAAACAGTACATTTTCTATTTACGGTTTAGGCATAAGCCTGACCCAAAGCCCAGTGAAAGATATCCCTGGCTTTGGCACAAAGCCTCACTTGTGTCCAGCGGGGCCAAGGGCGGCAGGAGGAGAATGCTGATGGAAACCTGTGCAGGAGGAGTTACGGCAGCCCTGGTAGCAACCGCAGCAGGGTGAGCAGGCAGCCTAGAGATTATCCAGGCTGGGAAAAATCAATGAGCAGTTCTGGCAGTGCCTGTACACCAGAGCTGAGCTAATAAAAACAAATTCCAGGGAATGTCAGCTTATGACAGAATGGCTCTCCCTGAGATGAACAGCCATTTCCTTCCTTATTAAAAACATCAGTAGAAGAAAACAGCAGCCAAACCGAGCTGCCAGCAGCAAAGGACACATTCCTTTGCCTAATCTGTCCCTCCAGGAACGGAAAGAGTAATATGTTTGGGAGTGGAGGAATAAGCAAGCAGTAAATAAAAGCAGAGTGTCACTGAGTGGCTCAGATATGACCGCTCGGTGCTTGGTGGGAGCTGGCAGTGTGCTGGGCTGGGCAGAGACCCAAGTGGGACAGCTCTGAACCCGATGCTGATGTAGCTATCTGGGGCTGTGCGGTCTCCCTCTGCCCTTCTTCCCCCATTGCTGGTGTTGAGGAGGGATTACTGCTACAACCAGCTGTAATGCTCCGTGGGTAAGTGCAAAGGGCTACTTAAGAAACAAATGGTTTTGTCGATGTGCCAAAAGCATCAGCTGGGCTATATGGGCTGGGAGGAACCCCCCGGGCTCCTGCAGCGCGTCTGGGCTGGCTAAAGGCATCCCCTGCTGTGGCTATGCAGGCATGAGAGGTTTCCAGGGGAAGTTTCCCATCTCTGTGGCCAAGGGGGATATGTGCTGGGGGGATCACACTGCTTTAGCACCCATCCTCTCCTTTTTCCCCCAGGATACACCGAGGGAGGCAGGCAGCTCTGCTCCGCAGTGGACACAGCACCCACAGAATGGGTGTATA